GAATTGAAAGAGACATTCAAGGAGGTTCAAAACATCACAATAAAGAGTCTCAGTAATAGGGTAGAACATGAAGAAGAAAGAATCTCAGAAATCAAAGGCAAGAGTTTTGAACTAACCCAATCATTTAAAGAGGCAGAAAAAAAGAATAAAGGCAGAGCTTTCTGAGAGAGTTATGGGACTATTTCAAAAGTTCAAACATTGGAATTATAGGTATCCCTGAAGGAGAAGAGGATGGTCCTAAAAGCACTGAAAGTCTACTTAAAGATATCATGGTGGAGAATTTCCCAAGCATTGTGAGAGACCCAGAAATCCAGATAGAATATAGTTTCAGAACCCCCACCTTCACTCAATTTAAACAAGCATCTCCTAGATACATTGTAATCAACTTGGTGAGAGTCAAAATGAAACGGAAAATTTTGCAAGCATCCAGACATTAGGAAATCTCACCTACAAATAGAAAAATATTAGGGTGACAGCAGATTTCTCAGCTGAAACTTTTGAAGTTTCAGAAGAGTATGGTCATCTGTCTTTAACCTTCTTAAAACAATTTTCAGCCCAGGATTATGTATACTACTAAATCATGTTTCATTTTTGACAGAAAGATCAAACATTTTACTGTTTGATTTGTTGTGGCAAACATTGAGGAAATTTGCCACAACAAGACCAGCTCTGCACAAAGTACTCAGACTTATTGTTCACACCAAACAGCACAGTGAACCACCAGAAAGTAGACATACCCAGAAACTAAAGGACAGAAACCAGCTTCCACAATTGCACAAGGGATAAAACTAAACAGTGGCCTTTCACAAAATAAGATGAACAGAACTCCACCATACCTATCACTTCTCCCAATGAATGTGAATAGCTTGAATCCCCACTGAAGAGGCACAGGCTAGCTGACTGGATAAAAAAATACAAGCCAAACATTTGTTGTCTGGCTGGTTAGGGCACCAGCCACGTGTACCAGGGCTGGTGGGTTCAAACCTGGCCTGGGCCTACTAAACAAAAAGAAATAACTGGGCATTGTGGCATGCACCTGTAGTCCCAGCTGAGGCAAGAGAATTGTTTGAGCCCAAGAGTTTGAGGTTGCTGTGAGCTATGATGCCATAGCACTCTACAGAGGGCAACAAAGTGAGACTGTCTCAATAAAAACAAAACAAAAACAAACTTTTTTTTTGTCTTCAGGAAACATATCTAACCTCTAAGGACAAAACAAGACTCAGGATGAAGGGTTGGAAAATAATATTTCAGGAAAATAGAAATGAGAGGAAAGCAGGGGTTACAATCTTATTTGCAGATAAAATTGGATTTAAACCAAAAAAAAAAAATAAAGATGAACACCATGTATTGGTCAAGGAAATGATACAGCAAGAAGGGATTTCAATTCTGAACATCTATCACCCAACATAAATGCTCCTAGATATATAAAATGAAACCTAACTGCTCTGAACAATATGTTATCCTACAACACCATAACAGCTGGAGATTTTAACACCTCCTCTGACATAACTGGACATGTCCACCAAGAAGAAGCTAAACAAAGAAACAATGGACTTAAAGGCAACCTTAGAACAAATGGACTTAACAGACATATATAGAAAATTTCATCCTAATAAAATTGAGTATATGTTCTTCTCATCAGCCCATGGATCATTCTCCAAAATTGATCCTATCTTAGGGCACAAATCAAACTTCAACAAATTTAAAAGAATAAAAATTATATCTTGTATCTTCTTGGACCATCATGGAATAAAAGTAGAACTCAATTCCAACTGAAACCTTCAAACCCACATAAATTTATGGAAACTAAACAATCTTATGCTGAACAACAGCTGAGTCAAAGAGGAGATAAAGAAGCAAATCATTATATTTCTCAAAATGATGGTGAATCCACAAGCTATCAAAACCTGTGGAATATTGCAAAAGCAGTTCTCATAGGGAAGTTTATAGCATTAGATAGCCACACCCCAAAAACAGAAAGAGTGCAGATCAACAACCTGATGACCTGGAAAAGGAAAAGGAATTCAACCCCAAACCTAGCAGAAGAAAAGAAATAACCAAAATTAGTGCAGAATTAAATGACACTGACAACACAAGAATCATTCAGAAGATAAGCAAAACAAAAGTTATTTGAAAAGATGAATAATATCTATAAACTCTTGGCCAGACTAATTAGAAATAGAAAAGTAAGATTTTTTTTTGTTGTTGTTTTTGAGACAGAATGTCACTATGTCACCCTTGGTAGAGTGCCATGATGTAATAGCTCACAGCAACCTCAAACTCTTAGGCTTAAGCGATTCTCTTGCCTCAGCCTCCCAAGTAGCTGCTTTTTATTGCAGTTGTCATTGTTGTTTAGCTAGCCCAGGCCGGGTTCAAACCCTCCACCTTCCATGTATGTGGGTGGCACTGTAACCACTGTGCTATGGGTGCCAAGCCAAAAAGTAAGATTTCTATTAACCTCAATCAGAAATGAAAAAGGGAAAATAACAACAGATACCACAGAGATACAACACATCATTGATGATGCTACAAAAAAAAAAAAAAAAAACTCTATGCTCAGAAATTTGAAAATGTAAAGGAAATGGATCACTACCTGGAATCACACCACCTTCCTAAACTCAACCAGAAAGAATTAGACATTTTGAATAGACCAATATCATGCACCAAAATTACAACAACAATTAAGAACCTTCCAAAAAAGAAAAGGCGAAGACCAGATGGTTTTATGCCAGAATTCTAGCAAACCTTCAAAAAGGAACTAATATCTACGCTGCAGAATCTATTCCAAAACAAAGAAAGAATCCTTCCCAACACATTCTATGAAGCAAACATCAACCTGATAATAAAACCAGGAAATGACCCAACAAAAAAGGAGAACTATAGACTGATATCATTAGTGAATGTGGATGCAAAAATATTCAATAAGATCCTAACAAACAGAATATACATCTACACATTACAAAGTTATACATCATGATCAGGTAGGTTTCATCACAGGGATGCAAGGTTGATTTAACATATGCAAATCCATAAATATAATTCACCACATAAATAGACGCACAAACAAACACCAATATATTTGGGGTGAAGAAGGAGAGGGGAGGACGGAGGAGGATTGGTAAGCTCTCACCTAATATGCACAATGTTAAAGCATATGATAAACCTCCTGGATGAAAGGCTCAACTAAAATTTGATCTTTGCCTTAGAAATGCAAACAATGTAACCTAATCATTTGTATCCTCATATTAACCTGAAATAAAAACTAAAAGATTACAGGGTCAAGATTAATCAAGAAATTCCAGAGGAAGAACAAAGTAGACAGAATTTTTACTACCAGATATCAAGACTCTTTAACAACTACAATAGTCAATACAGAGACAGATGCATGTGGAAGCTTGATCTATGAGTGGAGGTTGCCTTACTGGAAAAAGGATGCTTATGTATGTGGGGCAAAATCAAAAAAGGAATGAATTGTACTGTTATTGCACCACCATATGCAGTATTAAAATCAATTAATGTGAGTTTATATCTTCAACAGGACGGGCAAAACCTTATAAGTTTAGGAGAAAATACAGGGAAATAAATTATTAACAATACCTCAGCATAGGGAAGTATTCCTTAAACAAAACTCAAGTACAAGCCATACAGGAGAAAATTGACATATTACATTAAAATCAGCAACTTCCCTTCATTAAAAGAAATACTATAAAAAGAAATGAAAATATAAGCCACAAACTGTGATGAGCTATCTGTAACATATTATAACCTACAAATAATTGCTCTCTAGGACATAGGAGGAAGTACTCAGGATAAATAAGAAAAATACAAATAATTTTACACAAAAATGAGCAAGAAAGAAAGCAAAGCAAAACAATACAAACAACCAAACAGAAATTCACAGAAGATGAATAAAAATGATCCTTTAACATAGGAAAGGATGCCTACACTAATAAATAATCAGGGCAATGGAGAATCAAACCTCAGTAAGGTACTTTTTGCCTTTCTTAGATTGGGAGAATATCAAAAAATCTACAATACCAAATCTTGGTCAGAATGGAGAGTAATATGAATTCTTATATATTTCTGGTACCCATGTAGATTGGTCAACCCAAAATCACTCTGGAAAATAGTTTGGTGACTGACAATTAGTAAAGTTGATGTTTGCATAACTTATAGTTTTATAACCCAGCAATTTTATTCCCAGATAAATGCCATAGAAATTCTTCCAAGGATGCATAAATGCTCCTGGCAGCATTGCTGGTAGTAGCCTCCAAACTGGGAACAACCCAAAGGTTCTTCAGTGGAAGAATGGTTAAATGGTTATTTAACCAGGGCAATGGAACAATCTGTCCCAGTGAAAATGAGTGAAATAGGGCCAATGTCAACATGAGTGAATGTGAAGTGCATAATATTGAGCAAAAAATTAAAGCCACCAAAAATACATACGATGTCATTATTTTGATAAGACGTTCAAAACTTGCATATTCATAAGACTGTATTTAAAAAAAAGGACTGGTAAGCACATAATTCAAGGCAATGCCTCACTTCTTTGGAGGAGAGGAGGAGATGGTAGAGGGGAAACAATCACTTCGAAGGTATTGGTAGAAGTCCACTTCTGATGTTGGATAGTGAGTTTCACATATATTATAACTCTTTTGTAGTATGTCTTTAAATGCATTGGGGTAACTGTACTAGAATTTTAATAACTGTAGTTGATCCTTTGAAATCTTAATCTCTAAGGTATCTCGGGCCTTTAGTTTATATAAAGCAAATTCTTTTGCAAGGGAATTTTGGCAAAATGTTTCTTTGGAGAATAATATTATGGTTTCATAGTGAAGGTCCAACCAGCTATAATGTGTTTGACATGCTAGCTCTCACTCAGATATGCAGACTGATATGCTTAGGTCTCATAAGACCACTCTGTTACCATCTCCTTCCCTGGGGCAGCCTTATTAAACATCATTAACCTGAGTCCTGTTATGTTGGTTCTTGGTTCTTAGGAAGACCACCAAACAGCCGACTCCTTGAGCAGTGGTAGTCTCATGTGGACAAAGAAATTCAGCCTGGACTATTTGGCCCTGGACTTCAATTCACCATCACCAGCCCCCATACAGCAGGTAGGAAAGACTTTGTACCTGAGAATTCCCAGATGATTCCATTTCTGCTTAGAATTTTCTGATTATCAAGCCATACATAGTCTCTTTAGAGGGTGTTAAAAATATAGACATGTATAATAAAGAATATTAAAATCAGTTCTAATCCCACTTCCTACAGAGAGTGACATCCTAGTGTGTTTCCTTCTAGGGTATGTTCTTTGTGTGTACATACATAATCATAGTCACCCTCTTCAAAATTTGAAACATGAAGTTTATAAAAAAAAATTCTCAAGCAGAAATGATGGTGTGTTGGAGGGCTCTCCAGGCACAGGAAAGGCCTGTTTAGATAACAAGTAACAGCCTAGTTTGGCTCAAGTTTATGGAGTGGTGAAAAGAGCTCTAGGTCTGAAGCAGAACCTCTCAGTAAAGGGCTTGAATGTCAGTTTGGGCAGGTTTTGCCAGAATCATGCTCCAGTGGCAGGGTCTGTTAAGACCGGTGGATCTGGCAGTGGTCAACTGAAGAAATGTAAAGTTAGAAATGATGAGAGACAAAGAAACAAGACACATAGAATACGGCTCGGCGCCTGTGGCTCAAGTGGCTAAGGTGTCAGCTACATATACCTAAGGTGGCAGGTTCGAATCTAGCCCAGGCCTGCCAGAAACAATAATGACAGCTGCAACCAAAAAATATCCGGGTGTTGTGGAGGGCACCTGTGGTCCCAGTTACTTGGGAGGCTGAGGCAGGAGACTCACTTGAGCCCAGGAGTTGGAGGTTGCTGTGAGCTATGATGCCATGGCACTCTACCCAGGGGGACAGCTTGAGGCTCTGTCTCAAACAAAACAAACAAACAAACAACCCCCCCCCCCAAAAAAAACCCAAAGACACACAGAATATAATTTTCAAAGGTGGGAGCACAGGGGACCACTGCTCATTGGTTGGGTTCTTGCGAGTGGCCCCCAGTGTTTGTTCCACTCAGCTTTTATTGAAGGGTATTTGCTCATTAGCACAGAGGATAAGCTGAGGATGGGAACAAAGACATCAGCAATTTCTCTGAGCGAGCATATCAGCTCCTGTTGTTTCTATAATCATTAACTTTAAGGGTCCGAGCAGTCTTGAGAATCTGGAACCTGGGCCTTGTGTGGGATAGTCTCCTGTCTGTGGTCACACACGCAGATTCCTAGGGGGCTGTCAATACCTGCTAGTTCATTGCAGAGTAAAACACCACTGGCATCAATCTCCTCTAAAGAATTGGTGGGAAAGAGGAATTTTCCTCTCCTCACCACCCCAGAGGCTTCTTCCTCTGTGATAAGGGATATAAGCCTTCCTACCTGTATTTCAGGGCTTGAGCTGTTCCCTTGATCTCTGCCCTGGCCAAATACAAATCTTCACAATGGGTATTTGCTTTGGCTATTGACTGGGCAGGGTACAGCCTAGTTAATGTTTCTTGCTAGGCCCTGCACACAGTATCTTCTGTGGCCATTATTTCTTTAGAGTGTTTACAGACCAAGCAGGGGTGATTGCAAGCTGTATCCCCTACAGGCTGGCTTCCAGAAAAAGCAGGAAACTTTCTCAGATAAGAATTTTAGCAGTGGCTGGTTTAAAGCTAAACTAGCTGACTTTTCTTTGTTCTGCCTTGTTCAGCTTATTTTTTTATTTTCCCCTTTTTCTGCGGGTGTTTTTCTTTTCTGAGAATGTAGTCTTCAGTCCCCAGTCTGCCTGAAGTTTTGGCTTCATTGGGTAGTAGTCTTGGCTATAAAATAGGGGTCAGAAATAACTGTTAGATTAAGGGTTGTTGAGAGGATTAATTGAGTGAATACATGTAAGTGATATTAGCCATTATCTACTATCACCCACTTCACAATGTAAGGAATGAGTGACTGGTAAGCAGGGGATGACAACCAAACATTTTTGAGCGAGAGATGGTCATAATCCAAACTGTGCTTTATAGTGTATTGTTTGGTGAAAACAAACTAAACAGAATGAACAGTATTATTCTGTGTGTGTGTTCAGAAAAACTCTGGAAACTTTCCTCCCCTTCTGTTAAAGTAACTCCTAGTTAACCTCTATGTTTAATATCATTGCAAAAACCTGAACTGAGATGCAAGAAAAGCTGATCAGAAAGGTGGGAGCAACAAGTACTAAAGGTATGTCAGTCAGTTTTGGTAGAGTATGTACTCAAAACAAACAACTCCCCATCTCCTTTACTTATAACAAAGGCATTTTCAATTGTTGCTCATGAGACAGTCCATTGCAGGCCAGAGCCTTTGTGTTCAATCCAAGGCCCAAGGAAGAGGAGCAGCCTGCAATCTAAGATGTGCTTGTCTTCTGGCAGAGGCAAAAATAAAACTACAGAATCATAAGCATATGTTACTTACACTCATGTAATATTGGTCAAAGTATGTGGTAGAGCAAAGTCAAGGGGAGCAGAGGCACAGACACAGACTATTGCAGCACAGGAGGGAGCCACAACACTGGGGATTGAGAATTCCCCAACCAGGGACTTTGTTGACCACTGGTGGAGACAAACATGCAAGAAATTTACTTGCAGAGTTTCTGTGAAAGAATCTGCTGAGACCCAGAAAGACAGACACAGTATCAATCTGTAGTGAGGCAGCAAGGTGCCACCCTGAACTGAATTCTCAAGAGGTTTTATTAATATTTTAGGGTGTGGGTTTCCAGAGTGAAGAAGTAAAGAGTATGACTCAATCATGTGGGTGGTCATTTAATTATGAAAAAGGTCATCGGGTGGAGACACTAAATCCTGGAACAATTTTCATGGGCATAAATATGTAGGTAACAAACAAAGCTACCTTAGGGGATGGAAGAAGAATGGTTATGATTATAGCCTTCAAGACTAGATTGTCTCAGTGGAGGGTAATTTTTATCCCCTTCTAACTCTGATGACATAACTGTTGTCTCTGCTAAGCTGCCAACTTTTATTCAGATGTCCCCATACTAGTTTTCTGTCTATTCTTGCAGACATTCTGACCCCCTTTGTCACCATAGGTACACTGAGCAGCAGGGGGCTGAGGCCTCGGGTGTTCCTGCACAAGTCCTCTGGAATGTCTGCCTGCATTATATTTCTACCCACAACAGACATATAAACACAAAGTATAATGCTCCTGCAAAGAGGAAGGGGCAAATATTTAATAACAATGTAATATACCACAGAAAGGTAAACATTTTCCTGAATCTGTTAATTAGATTTAATGAAAACTTTTTGTTATCCCCTTCAGAAACTTCTCCTTTCAGAAGAGCAAAGAGTAGACTACGTCCAAGTGGATGAGCAGAAGACACAAGCTCTCCAGAGCACGAAGCAGGAGTGGACAGATGAGAGGCAATCAAAAGTGTGAGAAGTGTGGGCTTGGGCCATGTGTGAAACGGGGGCTCACGAAAGTAGGGCTCAGTTTGAGTTTTTTTTTTTTTTCTAAAAACACAGTGATGGTCAACACAGGCCAAAACTAAGAGAGAATGTATAGTTTTTGTGATCTTGGGGGAAAAGACCTACAGAAGGGCAGCAGTTTCCTTCCCTAGCCACACTGCCGATGTCCTGAGTCTCAGGGGTATGTGCAGCTGTCTCCATAGCCACAGGAGGCCATAAGCCACAGACCAGAATGTGAAAAACTCCCTTCATGAATGGAAGGGAGGCAAGATAGAAACACTAGAAATAAGACTTAAGAAAACATTTCTAAAAATTATGTTTAAAATCTCTTAAACAGAGTATTTGGAGTGAAGATTGGAGCCAGTGTTGCTACCAACAGGATGACATCATTTGATTCCAATACCTGAAATTCTGACCTCTCTCCTATGCTTTGGAATCATAAATTATCCTTGTTAAGGGCCCCCTGGAGACCATCTTGTTCCAGCCCCTAAAGTCACAGATGAGGAGATCAAGCCCAACGGTGGTAGTAGAATCTACGCTACTTATTCCAAAGACTCTAGCCGACCAGTCATTTATATCCCCAAAGAAAGACAATTCAAATGATGGGGACAATGGGTCCCAGGCTCTGTGATGAGAATAACAGGTGACACTGGCGACCATAAGGATGTTGTGATTAAACATCTACCTGTAGCCAGGTATTGTGTTGCTGTTGGCCTTTTCCCAGAATGCTTTCCATCCATCATCTCATCTCATTCTCTAAAAGACCTCAGAATTTAGGCATGGCAGAGACTATTGCTCCCACTTTGAAGAAAAGAAAACTGAGAAGTAGAGAAGAGAATACTTTGCTCAAGATTACTCAGAGAGCTGAGCCACAGAGTGGGGCTTAGAATAGAGTTGTCCAGGCTGCCAATTGCAAGCTCACTATACTATCTCAGTGCCTCTGAGTATTTTGACAAAATCAATCAATTGGGTCAACCTTGGCAGCATGTGTGAAGCACCTGCAATTGGTTTTTCAGAGTATATAGGAAGTTATCTTGATTTTCAAAGCAATGAGTTCTGATGACATTATTTTCTTCCTGGGACAAAGTAAGGAACAATTGTCACATACTTTGAGTTTAAAGTCCACACTGAATTTAGACAAAGAAAGAAGAAAAGCTATCCATACCCTGCACACCATGGCCAGCTCTGTTTCATGACACATAGGCCAGAACTGTATTCTTCCCCCATGTGACTTGCAAAGAGTCACAGAATCTCAGGCAAGAAACCAGGTTGCAGAGAGCTGGTCTCTATAGATCAAGCTTTTTAAACAGGGGGCCAGTTCACAGTACCTCAGATGGTTGGAGGACCAGACTGTGGGCCCTGGGACAAGTTGGCTGCTAAGCAAGACAGGCAGTGGCAACAAAAACATCCAGTGGGCCGGATAAATGTCCTAGACAGGCTGCAGTTTGAGGATGCCTGTGTAGCTCCCCCAAGTGTGGGCACCTGTGTTAGGGGCCGTGCTTGATTACCTAACAAAGGCTGGTGCAGAAAAATTATAGCCCCAAGTGTAAAGAGTCATATTGACACTTGGGGCTACCACCTTGAAGATACAAAAGAAACTACAGCTGAAATTATGTCAGTAGTGAAATGTTATTTAATTGACAAAAAAAAAATGTTTGTAGAAAACATTTCAGGAACGTATTTACAGCATAAAGCAACACACATCTGAGTAATATGACCTGTTTAGATTTGATTAGTTAAAAACAGGAATACTCTTAATAGGCACTGTCTACATTTAAAGTATGAAAAGTAATAGGGGTCAGGATAAAAAAATAATTTAAAAAAGGAAACTTCACCATCATTTCTAGGATATACATGATTATGTCCTGCTTTGGTAAAACTGCTAAAGGGTGGCTACCCCAAAGCATGACAATTCAAAGAAACAAAGCACAGATAGTTTGAGCTGAGAGCAGCATGTGCTCCTGAGAAAGTCACGATAAGTCAAAATGATGCCAGCCAAATCTTGGTTTCTGATGGAGACAATTGATGTGTATGCAACAGAGGGCAATGTTTCTGACCAAAGGCCCGATTTTTGTTACAGAAAAGATCCCAGAGACCATTCTGAGCCAAAGACACATGGCATGTTTGCACACTGTGCAGTGGACACATTCCTAAAAGATTTGAAAATCTGCGTCACATTGTTTTCTGTGGTTCCTTTTTGTTTCATTTCCTTTTGTCTCATTTTCGGAGGAAATTCCTCCATATTAGGGGATGTCCATTGCAGGATGGGGCACTGAAGAGTCTCAAGCCTGTAATCCCAGAAGGCTATTAACCCAGGAACCCTGGAAATTAAGTTTTCCTAGGTGGGGTAGGAACCCTGAGGCCCCCCTCCCAGAAGCCTGGCTGTAAAGGCATAAAGCAACTCAGTGGGAGGTTGCTGTATAGGACATTTTATCTTGGAATGAGAACCAGCTGAATGATGATCTTTAAAAGATGTGAGGGAGACTGAAGAGCTCCTCTCAAACCTAGCTTTCTCCTCATGGTCTCCTTGATCCCTTTCACAACATCTCTGTACCCACAATCACACAGATTTTTGAATTTATTTTGTTTCTACTGTTTCATTTCTGGCATTAATAAAAATTTTATAAGGAGGAATCATGACTTAAGTTTTTTATTATTTGTTTTAAATGATGACATCCAATATAAATAAAGAACTTGTTTTCAAAGCTGAGTATTTGAAAATAAACTTCATCACAGCTTTTAAGTAGAACAAATTTAACCCGATTTGTGCAATAGCCAACACAAGTTATTAGAGGCTACTGCAAAAGATTGAGCAGGTGGCTATAATTAGTACTGGTCAGCTGAACAACATCTTGACATTGTCTTTTTTGTTTTTCATCAGAAAGTAGCTTCAATAACTGACAGTAAAATTACCTGCTCTCCTTGACAACACCACCATTACTTACATAAAAAAGCAACAGCTGTAGGTCTGCCTCTCCACAGCAGGGGTCTTTTTTTTGCCACCACCTGCCTTTCCTCTATGGCTGAAGCTCCCAGCTACCCTGGATGGTGGGTCTGTGGCATCTCTAAGCCATGAAGCAAGTCAGAGACAATCAAAGTAGGAAGTGGGCAGGCTTGGGTTTGGGGAAATAGGCTGAAGGCTTAGAGAAGATAGGCCCAGGGGACCCTGGAGTTGAGAGAAAGGAAAAGGCACATTAAATCCCTTTCCTCTGATGAAGTATGAAGGCAATTGAACCTATCACACACCCTAGACTAGACCAAGCCCCCACCCAAAGAAGAGCACTTTGGCTGCAGGGCTAAGCAGGGACCTCAAAACTTAAGCTAAAAGGTCCTTGAACACTTGGCCCCTTATGCCCTGGCACATTTCCTCAGTTGCTTAAATTTCTTTTTTTTTTTTTTTTAGACAGAGCCTCAAGCTGTCCCCCTGGGCAGAGTGCCGTGGCATTACAGCTCACAGCAACCTCCAACTCCTGGGCTCAAGCGAGTCTCCTGCCTCCGCCTCCCAAGTAGCTGGGACCACAGGCGCCCGCCACAACGCCCGGCTATTTTTTGGTTGCAGCCATCATTGTTGTTTGGCGGGTCCGGGCTGGGGATTCGAACCCGCCACCTTAGGTGTACGTGGCTGGCGCCTTAGCCGGTTGAGCTATAGGTGCCAAGCCAGTTGCTTAAATTTCAAACTTCCTATTTCTCCTTTATTTTCCTTGATCTTAAATTTCATTTTTATCAGTTATTTTAATTATGCTATTTTGTAAACTTGGTTTTTATTTTCTGAGAGTGTAGTAATGGAGGAAGTTGGACAAGTGCTCCTGCCGAGGGAGAAGCAGAACCAAGACTCAGACTCTCACACACACAGGTACTTTTCTACCAGAGGGGACAGGACAGTCTTTCCAATAAAGGGTGCCCAGTCATCAGATGGAGATCTGGATGAACAAAACAAACCTGACCCCACTCTGCTGCCATACATGCACATTGATTACAGATGGGTCTCAGTGGGAAAGACATAACAATAAACTATACGTGTTCCCTGTGCTTTATCTGGGCTACTTTGCTTCCAGGCACCACTGTTGTTTTGCTCTGTTTCCTGGTCAAACTCTATTTTACTGACTTTTAATTCTTTTACCTTCACGTAGAACAATACAACCTAATTGTTTTATGTTTGTCTTTGATTTTAAAATTATTCTAATATTTTTATTCATTTATTTGAGAGTTTTGATTCATTTTCATATTTTATGGTGATAAAAGTAAGAATTGTGGTTACCTTTATTAGGGAAATTATTATTGATTAGAATAGGGCATTAGAGAACCTTCTAGCATGGTGGTAGTGTTTTGCATCTCAGGCTGGGTGGTGTTTACCTGGATGTATACATACATAAAATGTTATAAAAACCATGAATTTCATATTTGTACACCTTACTGAATATAAATTATACTTTAAAAACCACTCAGCATGAACGGGGAAAAAAGACTCTAGGGGTTTTAGAAACTTAATGCAAGAAATGTGACTATAATAAATATTAAAAGCTACAGGAAAATTCATTATGTTTGGTGTGGAAGAACTTCAGCATCAAATCACAAAAAACAGAAGCAAGAAAATAAATATTTCCACTGATAATTCCATTAAATTTAAAAAATGTTTAATGATTCCCCTGCTGCATAACAGGTGCTTACAAGGTGCTGGGGATATAGGAATGAGTGAAATAAAGATATCTTTCCTTAAGGAGCCAGAATGTAAACTTTGCCCCAATTCTGTTACCCCTTATTCTGCTTGGTGTGCCTGCCCAGCTTCAATGCCTCAGAATTGACTTTCCCTCTCTTCCCCTCTAAGGAGTGCAGCATTAGTAAATCCCAGCTCCTTTACCTCACACTGGGGCAAACTCTTAAGTAAAAACTGCACTACAGGGCGGTGCCTGTGGCTCAAGGGAGTAGGGCGCTGACCCCATATGCTGGAGGTGGTCGGTTCAAGCCCAGTCCCAGCCAAAAACTGCAAAAAAAAAAAAAAAAAATTGCACTACAGAGTTTAGCTGTAGGACCGGGATGAATATTTCTCTTCAGAGATTGCACCTTCGCTTGGATTCTTTCATTTTCCTGTCCTCCCCCGATTAGGGAATCATAGCCTTTGGGGGGACCTAATTTAGTACCTTGCCTTCTTGAAAATTGTTTGCAACAGTATTTCCTGTCCTGATTGCTATTCCAGAATCTAGCCAGTCCCCAGAAAGAGGGAAAATCTATGTCCTCTCCTCTAGAACCTGGGTAGTGACTGCCTTGATCAACAGAGGGGACACTGTGACTCCTGAGGCTGGGTCATACAAGGTGATACATCTTCCACCTGCTGTTTCCCTTCCCTTCCCTTCCCCTCCCCTCCCCTGCCCTCTCCTCCCCTCCCCTCCCCTCTCCTCTCCTCTCCTCT